GATGTGGATCATATTATTCCAAAGAGTTCTACCTGTTCTGAATCCTATGGCTTTGTGAATTTGATCACTTGATCCATAATTCAGAAGTGAATGATGAGCCAGTGGAAGGGTAATTGGTAGGTCAAGTCAGCAAGTATTTTTCTTAATGCCACTCGTGCTGCTCAACTGTCTGAAGCAGATGGAATTTTGTTGAATTGTGCTTGGTTTGTAATTTCTAGGGGTACTATGGAGTGCCACCAAATCACATGTAGTCATCCCAAGTGAAGGTTTAAAAACTGTGAATCTACTCTGATACAAATCTGTATCTCAGAGAAAAAGGAAATTGCTTTAAAAAAAAGTTTTATTTTACTATTTTATAGACTCTTCACAGGAATACAAGTGTTTCCCCAAGTTCAAGATTTGCACAACTAGCTTTAGTGAAATTCTGGCATCAGTTTCACACCTTAAGGTTTTTTTAAATAATATTTTAATTTTTTCCCAATTACATGTAAAGGAAATTTTTAACATTAATTTTTTAAAAGTTTTGAGTCCCAAATTTTCTCCCTCCCTCCCTCATACCTTCAGATTTAGAAGTGAAACCAAGGAGCATGATGCTGATATGGCCAGGACCATGCATCAAGTCCCCACGTGGACCAGTTAGCTCTGTTCTAGTCTATGGTTACAAACTATGCCCCTAAGCACAGCTGGACATCATAACTTCTGTGCTATCGGTCATTAAGGAAACTAGTCAAGAGAATGTGGATGGATTAGGGCATATTCATGATCACATCTAGAAAAATAACCCAAAGCACATGCCCAAACAGATGTCATTAGCATCATCTACATACAAGGACAGGGCATATTGAGAAACAACTGTGCTTGGAAAATTACCTACCTAAGCTGGGGAACACTGGCAAAACAGCTCATCAAAAAAGGACCTGGAGATTTTAGGGGACTGTGATCTCACTATCTCAGCCAAAAAGCAAACATAAAGCCAATTTACACTAACTAAGGCAGTGTCCCAAGTGAGAGACGCAGTGGTTCTCCTGTGTTTTGTCCTGCTCAGAACACATCTGGAGAATTGTGTTTGCCTCCAGGTGCTGTACATTAGGGAGACCATTGTCAAGCAGGAATATGTCCAAAAGAATGTGGTTAGTATGGCAGAGAGATCCAAAAACCATGCTGAGTATGTTTTGCCTTGGTGAAGAGAAGCCTTAGGTGAGTCGCAACAGCTGTCTTGAAGATTCAATGGGGTGATGTGTGGGAAAAGGGATTAGAATTGCTTTGCCACGCCTCAGCTGGCTCATCTTGGTACAATGAAGAGAATCTTTCTAAAATTTAGAGCTATCCAAAAAAAGAATGGGCTGTTTTAGGAGGAAATGGATTTCCCCATCATCATGGTAGGTCTTCAAACAGAAGCTACATGACCACTTGCTAGGAGCATCAGGGAACAAGAATATTCCTGTTGAAGTATGAGTTGGACTAGATGGCTTTTGTGGTCCCTACCAGTGTTGTGATTTTTAAAGGTTAGCCTGTTTGCCCCCAGTAAAATGCACTTAACAGCTTTCAGTATATATCTTTGGCTTATTCAGAAATCCTTACTCTTTTTCCTGTCTTATTTTGGTGACTACTACCACTATGCCTATTTTTGCTACATAGCAATCCATCAGAATGTGAAGTCAGTGATTCTATATATGCACAAGGCATTTCAACAGGGACAGAGACTGAGATAGGGAATTCCCTGGTAAGGAAACTCCTTGTACCAATGCATAATGACATCTTCTTTCCAACTTAGTCTAGAGAGTAGCCTAGAGCCTAGAGAGGTTGCTAAGGAACTTGCCCAGGGTCATAACCAGTGTATGTCAGAGGTAGGACTTGAATCCAAGTCTTCCTGTGTTTGAGGCTGGCTCTCTAGCTAAATGTCTAGGCATGAAGTTGTGGTAGACTGATCTCTGTCCCAGTCTAGTTCCTTTCCTTTCCCCCCCACCCATGCACAAGCTTTATGAAAATTAAGGTTGAAGGGATTTAAGCCTCCCAAAAGAAGTGAACTCACTTAAAAGTGGATCTTTCTAGCCACGTAGAATCCAAAGAAAGAGTAATGCTGTTTGGGAGGCAGGGCATGGTCCACTGCTCATCTTTTACAGGGAAAGATCAAATTAATCTGTTTGATTTTGTAGGGTCCTTATGGTTACATCTGCCCTTTTGTAGGAATGGTAGGAATTTTAAGTAAGATTTTTCCATTGCCCAGGATAATCTTAGAATGAATATTGTTGGACTTTTTTTTTTCAGCTCCTTCCTTTTACCCCTCTAGTTTTCTTGACTAATGAGGATTTTCTTAGGAATCCATCATCATTGGTGTGTAACTATGTTGATGGATTCTTGGTTGGTTAAAGCCTGGTGTCCCACCAGGGATCAGAGAGTTGGAGGCATGGTCTATGCTTCAGCCATGTGAAGTAGGTGAGAGTAGCTTGAATCGGAACACTATTTGCAGCTTCCCATCAATCTATAAAGGAAATCCGAAATAATGAACATGGCCAGGATCCAAACTACAAATGCTTCTGTGGACAATGATGTTTATGCTATCTGGGTGTTTACACACACACACACACACACACACACACACACACACAGGTTTATCTTAATCAAGAGATTTTGGTGGTGTTTTGCTTGTTCATTTTTAATCCTGAATTCAAACTACTGTTTAGTTTATTCAACTACTTAATGCCAAATAGTGGACTTGACTCTTCAACTGGTTATTTCAGTATGCTGTACAACCAACTTAATGAAACATCTCCTTTGATGAGCCTGTAAGGAAGTTTGGGGGAAATGAGAGAACAGTGCCTTGATGTTGGCAGACAGAAGCAGGGTGCTTGGAGATGGGAGGCAAGAGGGGCTTCCAAACTCCTTGTATCTCTGGGAATGAAAATGCTTGTGTAGAAAGCTTCTTGGCTCCCTTTCCTCTGAACATCCTTGTAGAAATGACATTTTGAAGTTAGCCATGATAGACCCAAAGTAGTCATTCCTAAACAGGAAAGCGAGCTTCAGTCTGAACCCTCCTACTAATAAGGTGAAATGAATGAGTAGTGAAATGAGCTGAGCTCCCTTAAAGGGTATTTTTTTCTTGCCCAACCTTGTGCTGATCAAGGCTCTCCTATCCCCAGTCTCCCTGCACAAAGCTTTAAAGCGAGTTAATCAAAAACCCCTTCCCATCATCTTCATATCCTTTCACTACTATTTGGAAAGTGTTCAACTCTACATACTAGTTTAAAGCTTTCCACCTTTGTTTTAAAGTGTCACTAGCATAGTCAATGCAGTCAAACTGTTAGGAAGGAAAATTTTAAAAAATGTCAAACCATTTTGTTACTTGCAGACAAAATATTGAGATTAGTACTGTTTAAAGAAGCATCGCTAAAAAAAAAAGTTATAGGCTTCAGAGAAACAAATAGTATTTTTGTACAGCAACTTATAAAATGTTCACTTCTATCTACACTGTCTTTACTTTACAGTGTAATGTATCCAAGTGAATGTTTCCCAATAAACTGATTTTGGTGCCTCTCCTGCTGTGTACTGTGTACTTAATTCAGGTATAGAACATTGGGGAATGCCCACAAATTGCATCACTGTTCACCAGCTTGCAGAGAAAAGGGGGTGGGGGTGGGAATAGATGGGGAGGAGGGTCAAGGTACATCTGCATGGTGGTTGAAGGTAATATTCCAACTCATCTCAATCAGTTTTGAAGAGGCAGTACAGTGTAGTAGAAAGAGCACTGAATTTGAAGCCACAGGATCAGAGTTCAAATCCCAGCTCCATTGCTTACTTACTTGTGTGACATTGGAACATCAGGTTTACCTTTTTGGACTTCAGTCTCCTCATCTGTAATATGAGGAGGTTGGATTAGATGATCTCTAAAGGCCTTTTCCAGCCCTAGTTTTTCTGAAGTTCTAGTGATCGCATTCTTCTGACCATTTGAGCAAACAAATGCCTTTTTAGCACCCCAAATATCCTTCATCAAGATTCTTCTCTCTTAGTTATCTGTGCCTTCTTGCTGCCCTCTTGCTAACATGTGTCCAATGACATACTTCTAACCTGCCAATATTGCCTTGAAGGTAAGCTCTCTTGTATTCTTATAACCATCATAAATTGTGCTTAAGCCAGAACACCTTTCAGATGCCTAGAGCCAGATGAAGAGAGTAGTGTGTTATGGTGTGTGCTAATGCCCAGGTCACTACCTGGGTCCTTAACACACTTCTTGCCAGTTTAAAGAGAGAGCCTTTAAACCATTTTTTGGTTTGTTTTTTAAACCAAGTGCTGACCAGTCTAGAAAACTGGGAAAAAAAATTCCAAAGACAACTCTAATTAAAGGCAGGTATTTTACATATAGTTCAATTTCATCCCTTAAGAGAGCTCTCCTATAATAAAGACTTTTGAAGGTTCATAAGCTTTTTGCTCATTGAACCAGATTTTGTGACCTATTTCCCATCCTCAATGAAATAGCTATCCAGAAGCTAGGGTCTTCTTCCCCTCTGAAGGTTTCTCCCCTGGTGATGGAACAGGCAGCATGGAGCCCGCCACATGCCAGAGACTGAGCTTTTGCATAGCCTGAAGCTGTGAAGGTGTGCCTGGGTATGTTGAAGGGGCTTGTTTTTGTTCATTTGAACCAGAAGCGGATAGAGAGAGTCTTGGTGCCTGGCCATGTGAAAGGGGATGTTGAGTAGCTCTGGATGTCTGTGTGTGTCTAACATCTTCATCTCCTTTTCCCATGCCTCATACTTGTCGTGTTCCAAGATGTGAGATGGTGATGGGTTGGGCTCCAGTTTGTGTGCAGTTTCCCTGCCTGCCTGACATGGTTTCCTCTCCCTCTCCTATTTTCCATTTTATTTTCTCCCTCTTCCCATTGACCACATTTGTTGTTTAGTTTCACATTGTTTCTGCCATGGGGCAGGGTGGGAGGAGTATTCAGAATTGGGGGATTCTGCCCACACTGACCCATTCAGTAACTTTATGTCTGGTGCTCTTTGCAGGTCTCCAGAGAGAGCCAAACTCGTGTCCTTCAATAAGTGTTGAGCGCTTTGAAGAGCCTTCTCACCAAGGTCTTCCACTGGAACAAGACTCTAACAGAGGACCAGGGGCCAAATCTCAGAATAATTTAGAATCTGACTATTTGGCAAGAGGTGGGCCTTCCAGCAACAGCTCCTTTCATAGCAGTGAAGAAGAAGGGACCGATCTCGAGGGAGACATGCTGGATTGCAGCGGCTCTAGGCCTCTCCTTATGGACTCTGAAGACGAGGACGAATCCTGTAAGGCTCCACAGGTGGGGTCAGTAGAAAAAGTTAATATCACTCAACCAGAAGTTTGCAAAGAAGAGACTAAGATAGCCCTTGGTGGAAAAGAGAACCAGTTCCAAGCCTTTGCGCAACTAACTGCAGAGGTTTCTGGCGAGCCAGATGTTTTTGCCACAGCCCCTTTCAGGAGCGCGAGGCCCCAATATGATGGCATGGATATTTTCACCAAAGCTCCATTTATCACCAAGGGTCACGTGGCTCCTCAGGTGCCTGAGGATGCAGATGTATTTCTGAGAGCTCCTTTCACCAAGAAGAAGAGCATGGAAGAGCTTGTGGTCACTCAGGGTACCACTATGGATTTACCCACACAGACTGCTCTCCACAGTCAGATGGGGGATGGCCCACCAGTTATTAGCCCTCTGCTCTCAAACCTTGATAGGGGGGTGCACCCTGCAGCACTCTCTCCCCTAGCTCAGTATCCTATGGTGGGATTTCTCCACCAATCTAATCTCCCTCCCAATTCTATCCAGTCAGCAGAAAGCTTAGACAACATCACTTCCAAGGGGATCTCTCTGGATACTGTAGGCCACCCTAATGACAGAAACAAAAGTCACCCATCCCAGAAGGAAGTTGCCTCTGGCTCTGTGGCCAGCAAATCATTCCGCCCCCAGTCGTTGTCCAAATATTCCCGTCACTATAGCCCTGAGAATGAGCCAAGCCTGGAAGCCCAGCCCATTGCTGCCTATAAGGTTGTTTCCCAAAGCAACAAGCAGTCGATCTCTGGGTCCATTCCCATCACATCCTTTTCCTCCCGGACTGCAGAACTGCCCAGTGTCGATCCTTTTGCTTTGGCACCCTTTCCTTCCAAATCAAGCAAACAGAAACCTTAAGAGCATCTTCCATTCCTGAAGCTCCTCACCCAAACATACACGCTCCTCCAGCCATCCCCTTTCACACTATTCTCAGCTGCTCTTACTGACTTTCTGACCCTCTACTATCACAGCAGTATTTCTCTTCCAGTACCCAAACCCAACTGCAGGAGTGGGGTGGGAGGGGAGAGAACAGGGGTATTGAGTTCAAATATTTTTAAGTTGTGCTCAAGTTTTCTTTTGTTTCTATTGACTGCTGGGTTCTTTGGAGTGTTCACTTTTATGGTGGCTTTCCACATGGGCCCTACATTATTATTAAGAAGCTTTTTACTTCACCCCTCTTCCCTCCAATCTTGAAGAGGCCAGGTTATGTAAGACCTAATTTCTGTTCATTGTCAGGTCAAGTGAGGATTCCGGAATAAGTCCCTCAGGACTGATTTAATGCTCTAGAAGGGTATTTGTTTTTGTTTTTGTTTTTGTTTTTTTTAAGAGGTAGTTTCTGGGGAAAAGACAATACCAGATAGCTCTTTCCTCCCAAGAGGAAATCTCATCTTTCAGCTACTGATTATTCTCATAAAACCAGCAAACTCCAGATGGAACACTCAATAATGAGTTACTGTGTGCATGCTGGGCTGCGTGCACACTGTAATTGAGTGTAGATGTGTGGATGTGGGATGTGCTTCCTATCCATCTAGATACAGAAATGCATGCTTGTGTGATGTCTCTAAGCACATTTGTAGCAATATCAATGAACTCTCCATATCATGTTTTACAAACTGATTTAAATACTCAGATCTGTATTTTCTGAGGCAACACTGCATTTGAAGCATGTGGTCTTCTTGCAATACAGGAAACATTTTCCATCGCGTAATGCTCTCCTCACACTCCCCAGATAGCCCTTCATCAGCATTTCCCTGCAGACCTAATTCCATTTTGAGATCCAGCTCTCATTTAACTCCCTTTTTTGATGATAGGATTGAAGCCAGCAGAAGGGAGAGATGGTAAAGCCTTGGTGGAAGGGATAAATTTCTTTCCATATTATTATTTTCCATTGATAAAAACCATTCATCTGGTCATGTAATATTCCATTTATATATGCATTTTCCACCATGGCACTGTAGGAAAGGATATTTTATTAGGGTCCTGGTCAGAGTATGAAATCTTAAAAGAAAAGTAAAAAGATCAAAAGCATTAGGCTTGAATACAATATAGGATCAATAGGGCAACCGTATTACTGAGCTGAGAAAGAGTTTAGCTTCAGGATCCTGGCCAGCTTCTGTGCTGTCTGGTTAAAGGAAGGATGCATCAAAAGCACCAAATACATTTGTCAGGTCAAAGAAGGGACCCAGAAATCTTCCAATTCTTTTCTTTCTTTTTGTGATGCATTAGTTAGAGAAAGAAGCCTCCAGTAAATGACTAATGTCTTCTGAATCCCTACTTTGTCTTGGATTCTTCATTATTAGTGCCTTAAAATAATAACTAGGTCTCTGGAAAAAGATCTCAGCTGAAAAGTTCAGCAACATGTAAAAGCACACTTCATGGACAGGCTTTAATGTGAACCTTTTATGTGATACCTAGTGAGATTTGGAAAATTATCCATCAGATAGAAAACTTACTAAGCCAGTTCCCTACTTTGAACATTCTTGGAAATTAACCCAAGGCTGGAGCTTAGGCTACTTCCTTCAGTGTAAATGGTTAAGCAGGTATAGTATCACTGTTGTCAGTTTTATGGTAACAATACCTGTCTTTCAAAGCTGTTTCTAGTTGGGACTTTAACTGTATCCTATCTAGGTCAGTGGTAGACTGAATCATGTTCTGTACATAATTAGGGCTACTAGCAAGAGCTTTCAAATTGATGTAACAACTGTGCTAGGAATGGGAGTAGATAGATAGATAGATAGATAGATAGATAGATAGATAGATAGATAGATAGATAGAT